CCGGCAAAGGAGTTCGTTTGGTTTGGCCAGTTCCAGTTTGGCCAGTTTTGCCAGTTTGGTTTGAAGTTTGGCCCTTTTGGGCTCCCGGGGGAGCTAGGGGGGGAGTGGTCCGACGAACCCCTTGACTTGAAGGGGGTGTTTGCCGAGGAGTTCCCGGAGCCGACCGTTTTGTTGCCGTACGCGGGGGATTTGGCCCGGAGGGATTCCAGGTCCCCGCATTTGTTTGAGCATGATTTGGCCGAGCTGGTGAGGGAAATGGCCTCCCTCCTTGGGGACGGGGGGGGAGTTTTGATTGTTCCTTTCGCCATCCTTTTCGGGCCGCACGCCGGGGGCCCGCACGGGAAAGAGGGCCTTTAGGGTTTTTGAGCCCCCCCCCGGGGCCCTCCCGGGTTCCTCCCCCCCCGGGGGCTTTCGAAATTGGTTGAGGGTTGGCATGCCCCTGCACGCCTGCACCGCCACAACCCTCCCATTCCCAAAGAGAAGGTTTTGCCCCCCCCCCCCCCCCCCGTTCCGCAAGCCCTTCCCCCTGAGCCCCCCTCCGCGTATGCTCCTCGCTCGACCTGTTTTGGTGGCGGGGGGTGCCCAGCCGCGACCGGGGCTAGAGATGTGCTTGTCCCCTTCCCATGTGCCCCTTCCCTTCCCCGCCCCCCTGCCCGTGCTGCCGTGCATGCATCGTTCCGTCCGCCCCGTGCGTCACACGCGAGGCGTAGGCAGCGCACACCACATGAGCGAGCCTCTATTTTATAGTGAGTGCGATGCGTAGTGTGTGTGACGCGCCAGTTTTTCGTGTACATGTATAGTTTTAAACTCTAATAGTTTAGTGAAGAGGCAGTTACCAGTTTACCTAGTGGACAAAAATCACGTCTCCGCCTAGACATGCACATCGGTGTCATCGCCCGCCGGTTGCGCGGGGGGCGCGGGCGGGCGGCGGGGCCGGGGGCGGGGCGCCCCCACAGTGATCACTCTATATAGCCATAGGCTATAGCCCGTAGAGCCCATACGCGACTCGCGAGCCCGCCTACGTACACACGCCCGAGCACCGCCCGCCCATCCTCCTCTCGACTCACCCGCCGCTCGGGGCGGTGGGCTAGCCGTGACGACAGGCGCCATGGCCCGCTCAGGCGCTCGCCGCCGTCGCGTCATCAACGATCTTGCGGAGCTCCTCGATCTCCTGCACAGCAAAGCAGAAGGAGAGGATCAAGCCGAGCCAGCACGCAAAGTAGCCGTTTGCTAGGCTGGTATTGGTGAAGGGCTTGTCGAACGTGAGTACGATGGCGGCCGCGGCCCACAGGCACACGAGCACAAACGCGACGAGCTTCGGCAGCGTGTCCGCCATCCTCTGGCCGTTGCGCCCAAAGTCGAGGCGGCTGCCGCGGTCGTCGAGTGCGAGGAGGAAGAGGATGCCGACCAGCGAGATGATGCCGACGGAGAGGCCATACTTGCACTGGTCGAGGTCGAGCCTGCTCTGGCCGAAGCTGTTGTCAGTGGTCGTGGCGATGATCAGGACGACGGACGGCACGATGAGCCCAAACAGGGGGCCCTTAGAGCGCGCCCTGCTGGCCAGGCTGTCGAGGGTGCGACCGGAGGCGTCGGCGAGGTAGCCCGCCGACGCAAAGGCGCCGGCCCAAAGCGAAAAGTACCCGTTGCCGGTGATGGCGAATGGTGCGAAGTTGAAGGTAAGGACGCAGGCGCCGACAACCCACCAAACAAAGAAGAAGAAGGCGATCAGCATCTCGTTGGTGACCTGGCCCACGCCCTGGAGCTCAAACTGGACCTTCTTCAGGTTGCTATCCCTTGAGCGATACACCAGCAGCGTGAGGAGGCCGAGCCCCGCGCCGACCGCGCCGACCGAGACCGCGTAATCGCCGTACGAGCTATTCTCCCCAGCATACTGGGCAGAGGCGCCGATGAGGACTGCAGCGGCTATGACCATGAACGCAATCCAGTAGCCTGGCTTGCGCGAACCCGGGAGGCTCAGGCTCGGCAGGCCGGCGCCCAGCTTGTTCTGGACGTTATGGGCCGCGTTCTCGATGTCGCCCACAGCGCCGCCGGTGATGTCGTTGGCGACGTCCTTTGATTCGTCGACAACGTCGCTCACGGCATTGATGACGTCGTCGACGATGCCGCGCGCCTGCGGCTCCTCGGTTGACACAGGCTCCTCGGTGGCAGCCATCATCCTTCCTCCTCAGTTCCTACTTCCGGCCTTGGTCGGGATGCCAACCACCTTCTTTGGCCTCATTTTTTTACTTTACAATTCTCACACACACACACACACACATCGATTGGTGTTTTGCGGGGTGGTAGGGAATCTGTGGCGTGAACACAGAGATTACGGGGCCCGGTGTGGGGTTCATGTTTTCTCTCTTGCGTTTAGAGAGATGGGGCAGTCGGAGAAGGGGCAACTCCGTGCACTGACGGTCGGCCGTCAGAAAACACGCCTGCGTGGATCGCGTCACACCAATCCTCGCTACCCAACGCGGCCAAAGGATATCCACCTCGAGAACCTGAGAGAGAGAGAGATTCTAGAGATTCTTCTCTTCTTGCGTTTATGTGAACACAGCCTTTCCTCCGGTCTTTTACCCGCCGGTCCGGACCGTTCTGTGCAAGGCCGTCTGCCACTGAGGCAAGGCTACTCGCTGGTTTCCTGTGTTCGCTCCCCTCCCTTCCTTGCCCCGAAACGAACCGGACAACGCGCTTCTTGATCTGCGTTGCTCTCCCTGTCCTCGATGTCGCTGGCGATGTTCATGGGTCTCACGCTACCTTCTGCCTCCGCGCTGGCGCTCGGCCGCGCCGGCCGCTTCGCCGCGCAGCAGCGCTTCGCGGCGCGCGGCGCGGTCCAGATGGCGGCCGACGGCCCGGTCTGCATCGTCACCGGCGGCTCCCGCGGCCTCGGCCGCGCCATCGCACTCAGCCTGGGCAAAGAGGGGTGCCGCGTGGTGGTCAACTATGCCGCCTCCGCGGCGGCGGCCGAGGCGGTGGTGGAGGAGATCAAGGGGCTCGGCGGCGACGGCGTGGCGGTGCAGGCGGACATGTCTTCTCCTGAAGGGATCAACACGCTGTTCAAGGCCACCGCGGATGCGTTCGACGATCCGGTGGGTGTGCTCGTGAACAACGCGGGCATCACGCGCGACACGCTCATCCTGCGCATGAAGCAGCAGCAGTGGGAGGACGTCATCAACACCAACCTGAACGGCGTCTTTTACGCCTCGCAGGCGGCCGCGAGATATGGGGAGATATAGCGTCTTTTACGCCTCGCAGGCGGCCGCTATGATAGACATGATAGACATGATAGACCCTTCTTTTACGCCTCGCAGGCGGCCGCGCCTCGCAGGCCGCCGGCGCCGCCGACGCGCCGCCCGAGAGCTGACGCGCCAGCCGCGCCCCCGCTTCAGGCGGCGGCCAAGACCATGTGCAAGGCGCGCAAGGGGCGCATCATCAACATCGCCTCCGTCGTCGGCAAGATTGGCAACCCGGGCCAGGCAAACTACGCGGCGGCAAAGGGAGGCGTCATCGCGATGACTATGACGATGGCCAAGGAGCTGGCGTCGCGCGGCG